GAGATTTTATTGCTTGACTAAAGATCGGATTTATATAACTAGTAGGTACGAAAATTTGTAAAATAATAATAAGATTAATTTGAAGTGCTAAACGGTCAAGTACAATTTTTGGTACTTTCCTGTTAAAGGGAACATTCATTATTATCGATGATTTTTTCGATATATCGATATTTTTTATTACCGATCCATTACATATTGACAACTGATCTTGTTTAGGCCAAAATAGTCTATTATATGGATTAAGAAATGAAATTGTTCTAAGCTAACCTAACATAACCAACCAAACTTGCTGTACTATTTAAAAATTGCTTTTGATAACAGAAAAGGCAAGTTAAACATGGAATGTTACACAGCAAGTTTGGTTTATTATGTTAGGTTATTTTTTTTAGAACAGTTTTATTTCCTTGCAGATTACTGAGGCTTCTTAGCCTAAGTTACTCTCATATTGACCTCAACTATACAAAATGTTCTTTTTGTAATTTGTTGCAATAAATTATTGGTTCTTGATTTCATTATTGTTTGTTGATACTGAACAATATTTATCGTAGTTGTCAGCTGATATGTTTCAATTTGTTAATATCGATATATCGAGAAAAAAATCATCGATAATAATGAATGTTTCCTTTTTACAGGAAAGTACCCAATTTTTTTACTGAGATAAATTCCATTTCAGATTGAAAAAGAAATCACAAATCAGAAATCAGAAAATCTTTAAATTGACACATGATTAAAACATAATATTATTGATTTGTGAAAAATAAAATAGCAGGATGATTGATTGTTCATAGTTACATCATTTAGAAATACAAAATAAATTTTGTAAATTGGATTCCTCAATGTAGTCTACCCAAGCTATAAAGCCTCTAACTCATTTTAAATTAATGAATAATATGCAAGTGGTAAATAATGTTCAACTGAGCACATTATTGTACAATCCATTAGCAGTCTTGATCAGTTATATTACTTTTTATTTTCTAAAACAACAAATTTTTTGAAAACTTAATTTTGATGGGAGAAATTGTTACCTAAAATGTAATGTAACACATTTATCGACAGAGCTGGAACAATTTTACCTCTGAATATTGTTGGGAACCAAAACCACTAAAATCAACCACTTTGATATTTGCCTAGAGAACTTAGTTTTGGGTGTGGGTAGAGCAAATATGAAGCCTTGAGAAAATATAACACTCCCTATTTTAGTCCAACTTTCAGCTTATTTACTTAACTCTCACAAATGATGTGTTAGAACACTTATTTCCATATTTTAACCAAACATGAAATGTATGCATCTTTGTTCTATATAACCTATAGTACCAAGAGTGCCATGCATATAATAAAATATTAACATTAAACATTGTATAGGCTTAATCAATATACAATATTAAAAACATACAACCAACGTTTTCTAAGAAATTTATAGTGCCTATTAAAAAAAAAACTATTCTTCGAATGCTTTTTAGTAGTGAATAAATTTTCGTAAACAATTTTCAAGAGTTCTGCTCAATTATATGAACTTGATAATTATTTAGTTGAAACCCAGGTTCATTTGGATATTTTTAGAATGTGAAATTCATTCAATAAACCTAAAATGGTTATTATTAACAGTCTTTTTGCTTATTATAAGCAATGGTTAAATGGCCTTATTATTTATAGCTTTATTTAATATTTCTTGGCCAAATAGTTGTCAAACATAGTCAAGTACTGTATAGGCAAGGTAAAGGGCCTATGGTATTAAGGAAATGCTTTAATAGTTGAAGTACATTTTCTCGTTAAAAATACAATTCAAGTAAATTTGTTATACTAGAAAACCTTTTTATTTACCTTATTTATTTGCATATTCTGTAATATGGTCGTACATAAATTAAGTTATAAATGGTCCTTAATTTCAATACTGCCATTTAGATAGTTTGAATTTGGAAACGTAGATTTGGCTAAACGACATGCTTATTATTTCCACCACTAATGCACACAATACAATTAGATTAATACTTTCGCCTACAAATAATTTACAGTATTGTTACTTAATAGGAAAATACGCTTTACATAAAGTGATTCAAGAACTACGGCTTGATTTGATCCACAGCATGAATCAGGTTCTGATAATTCCTACTAGGAGATAGGTTATAGTAGCCTATATAGGTATAAACTTAGGTATAAAGGATCTAATATCATGGTTTATACACAAATGAACTGTCACTTGGGGTAAAATTATGTTATAACAAGTAAATATTAAACATGTTTAAAGAAGATCACAAGTTTAAACACAAAGGCAAACAATAACTTGGCGAAGAGTCTTTTGTCATTTTAATTTACAAGATAAATTTAGCTAATTAACAGTTATATTTCACCTGTGTACAATGTACAACTATATTTGACAGTTTTGTCAAATTTAGGAAAAATTACTTAGAAATAAATAATGAAGTAGGATTTGTGTTTGCAGATACTGGGCAGTATATAGCGTTTTCTTAACAACGCTACTGTCAAGCTATGTATGGAATAAGTTACAAATACAAAAAAACTCTATTTTTAAAATGGTCGTGGTATGAGCGCAAACGTTTGCGCGAAAAGCAACGAGTACCTTGAAAACGCTGCACGTTGACTTAGTGTGGCGAAACGTCTGAACTGAGAACTAAAATTTTTTGTTATTGTTATTTTTGTATTCGTATTTGTATTTTAAGTGTGTGTTTGTGTGTGTTATGAACTGTGGTGGCAAAGGACTGAGCTCTCCTGTTTTCAACAAGTGAGTGACGCCCGAAATTATCTATGTAAAAATATAAATTAAATAAACTCTCCATTACTTACATATTGTTTCTATTGCTTGTACATATTGTTACTTTGTTTAAATATTCTGGATACCTAAAATTCACATTCCATTTTTAATCTAAACAAATAAATTAGTGTCTTTTTATTGGAGCGTTAACTTGGTCATCCTTCTTAAATGTCGGCTACTTCTTTTAAAGACATATGATTAATATTGAAAACAGCTTGAAACGTAGTAAAACGAAAAAATTGCATTCAATTTATACATTTACTTAATAATATAATAAAATCTTTAGCTTTAATATTATTAGGTTTAATAATATTTGCTACTGAATTTAAAACTATATTTTTAACCAAGCAAATTGTGCTAATTTTTACTAATGTTTAACAATGTAATCCTGTACCAAGGACAAATTTGATAAACTTGAGCAGTTTTGAGGTTATATTATGTTATGGCTAATATAAGGTTGGCTAGTTGCTTCTACGTCAAAGTTCTGAAGTTGTATAGAGTAGCTACACTTATAAAATCAATACAGCTCCAACAGTCACGGAATTCAGGCCTACATTGTACATTGGTAGGTTATGATGAATTCGCAGAAAATGTGATTAAAATTTCGAGTTGCTATGTGAAAAGCAATTTAATTTTCTTCTACTCAGTAAAAAAAAAATTATAATTTTGTATACCATCGTTTTCAGACTTTATTGGATAACGTGAATGATCCTGATAACCTTAACAATTAGTTTTGTTTATGCTTGGCTTTGAAACGAACATGGTGAGTACAGTTTCAAACTGGTTAAGCCAATCAATTTTATATAAAGTAATATAAATAGACCAAGATGAAGATCAGAAATTGAAATAGAATGAAACGTGGACTGTGACGTTATATGAGTATAGTTAAAATTTTAATATATCTTTGAATATAACTGTCACCAAAAGACTATTTTTACTAAATATTATATTTAAGTTGTCAGATATTTAAATTGTTTTCAATATGAGTTTCTGTGGTTAGTGTCGTGTTGTGTTGAAATGCATAACGTCCACTATGTCTTGTTAACTTGTTTATGGAAGTATTTAACTATAATATTTGTCTGTGATATTACAGTTCGTGAATAGAGCGTGCTGACAACGACAACTAATAACATGTTTCAATTATAACTTAGGGCATTTTCCTAAGTACATCCAAAACATTGGCAGTCCCTTCAAAATAACCTGAGCTAAAATGTTTTAGTTATCTTGAAGAATATACTTTTTTTGTTTCCTATCTCCCAGAATCATGACATTTTAAGATCATAAAGTAAAAACGTCAAATATATTTTAAATGATTGGACAAGTTATGTTAAAATTGAAACTTAGTGCTGCCAACGTTTGGTATTTCCTGTAAAGCCTCTTCATATTATGATTTCATAATAGAGACACTGATTTAATTTCTGAATCACTAACGTTTTTTGGCTTAGAGTAGTTTTAATATTACGTAGCCTTGGACACATAAACGTTCATCCCACCCAGTTGAGAGAAGGCAGAGAGAAACAAACTCAACACAAAAATTCCCTCTTTGTTATTTTAGTAATTTTTTTGCTGCAAAACTCAACAGAATTGAAGTAACGCCAAATGAAGAGTTATGACAGATATGGAAAAATGTCTCTTTTGCATCCAAGTCGAACAATTTAAATTTATTCGTATACATCACCATTATAAAAACGCCGAAACAATGATGTAGTAATTTTATTTAAATAATTCGTATGGTTAAAAACATTAAAACCATCACAAAAGCAAACTTTAAAAGATACACACTGTGCATAAATCTGTAGTGATCTAAAAGTTGTAAGCCTAATTAATTTTACAACTTTAAGGAAAGCCTTTTATTCCACTTTAAGGCCTTTTGAATCTTATATTCTCTGCCAGTTTTAGTAGTTACATGAAAATTACATAAAAAAATAGCTTGACGACTATAAGCATTCAATATTTTATGATTTGAAATGCAGTAGTAATATTAAAGATTTGTAAAAACTATTATATATTTTAAGTATAACGAAAATACAATCCCTACACCACAGGCAAAGGAATAAGTATTATGGGAATCAGTTATTCCTTTGTCAGGAACATATTCCAGTTAATCATGAAACAGTTAACCGATTAACCCGTCCAGTTCATTATAAATACAAATATTCGACAACGTAAGTGCTTAACTCACTCACTCACTCCCATGGCCATTTATACCCAAGGCGGGATTTGGCCGCACCAACAACTGCTTTCCATCTCTCTCGATCTTCTGCCTCTTCCACTTCTGCCCCCACTTCTCTGACGTCCTTGGAAACACTATCCCACCATCTCTTCTTGGGCCTTCCTAATGGTCGTTTCCCTTCTGGCTTTCCTATACTTGCTTCTTTTAGTAGTGAACCTCGTTCTCTCCGTAGTGCGTGTCCTGCCCACCTTATTCTCCTTGCTTTCACGTGTGCTACTACATCATAATCATTGTACATATTCCTTATCTCCCTATTATGTCTTTTTCTCCATTCTCCATTTTCTTGTATTGGTCCATATATCATTCTTAAAATTTTGTTTTCAAAAACAATCATTTTGTTTTCTTCTTTTTTATTTAAAATCCAAGTTTCAGCTCCATATGTTAATACTGGTCGAATTATACTATGATATATTTTTATTTTCGTTTTATGTGAGAGAATCTTTGAAGTCAACAATTTCTTACAAGAATACATACATTTATTGGCCTGAGCAATCCTATAATTTATTTCTATTTCTTCACTATTGCTGCTTGATATAATTACCCCTAGATATTTAAATTGTTCAACAACTTCAAAAGTATGTCCATCTATACTAATTTCATTTGTCCTCACTTCATTTGGCTGTCTCGTGAAGTGTATATATTTTGTCTTCTCATCCTTAATCTTTAGGCCCATTTTTTCTGATTTTTTTATGAACAGTCTGGTTAGCTCCTCTAGGTCATTTCTGTTTTTTGACAGAATTACTACATCGTCCGCAAAAGCTAGGATGTTTATTTTTGTTCCCATTTCTAAACCTATATTTGTTTGTCTTACTTGTTGGAGGGCCTCTTCTAAGGCTATGTTAAATAGTATAGGTGACATTCCATCACCTTGCCTTACGCCTGTTCTTACTTCAAAGCTTTCTGATAACTCTCCATCTATTTTTACTTTGCATTTTGATTCATTCAAGGACATTTCTACTAGTTTTATTAGTTTTCTGGGGATCCCAAACTTTTCCATCTGCTGATATATTCTTCCCCTGTCAAGGCTATCATAGGCCTTCGAAAAATCAATGAAAAGCCCGTGTACTTCTTTATTGTATTCCCAGTGCTTACTAATAACTTGTTTAAGTATGTGAATCTGGTCCATTGTAGATCTCCCTTTTACAAATCCTGCCTGGTGATCCTCTATTATACTACTTGTGTATTCCTCGAGTCGCTTTTGAATAATCTTTGATAAAACTTTATATCCATGACTGAGCAAAGATATTCCTCTGTAATTTCCACATATTCCTTTGTCTCCTTTTTTATATATTGGCACTATTATAGATTCTTTCCATGTTTTTGGCATTTTTTCTTCGTTCCATACTCTACATATTATATCATGGAGTTTTTCTAGTGTAGTCCTGCAACCTTTTTTCAATAATTCTGCTACTATACCATCTTCTCCAGGAGATTTGTTATCCTTTAAGGAATTTAATGCTTGTTCTACTTCTTCAATATTTGGATTCTCAACAAGAGGTTGTACATCATGGTATATGGGGATTTCTTCATTATTGTCAATTTCTTCCCCATTTAGTAACTCCTCAAAATGCTCTCTCCATCTGTTGGTCACTTCCTGTTTCTGTACTAAAATATTGCCCTCTTTGTCCTTAATGCCAAATGCATTTGCTGTATATCCACTTCTGAAGTGCCTATCACATTTATAAAAGTCTCTGGCATTTTGTGCTCTCTGATCTCTTTCTGCTTTTTCTAGTAATCCCTTCAAGTACTCTCTCTTTTTCTTACGCAGGGTTCTTGTGGTTTCTTTGTTTACTCTAAAATATTCTTCTCTATCTTCGTTAGACTTATTGTTCAACCACTTCTTTTTCCTCTCGCTTCTTTCCAGTATAGCTTGCTCACATTCTCCATCAAACCATGGATTCTTCCTTGCTCTCTTCTTTTTACCACAAACTTCTTTTGCTGTGTTAAGTATACTGTTCCTGAACGTTTCCCATTTATTTTCTATGTCTTCCATAATCTCTGTTTCTTCCGTGTCACCTAGAACTTGGAATCGGTTATGTAGTTTGATCCTAAATTCTTTAACTAATGTGGTTTGCTTTTTTAGTTTTTCTACTGCTAAAACTTCTGTAGCTTGTTTGCTGTGGTTTATCTCCAGTGATATTCTTTGAGTGAGTTTGACAAGTATTAAATGATGGTCTGATCCACATTCAGCTTCTCTAATACTCCTAATATTTGACACACTACTCTTGTTTCTATTATCTACTAGCACATGATCGATTTGATTTCTGGTTCTCCCATCAGGAGACATCCAAGTCTCTTTATGTATATTCTTCCTTTGAAAGGACGTACTCATAATTCTGAGGTCTTTTGCCATTGCAAAGCTGCATAATCTTACTCCATTACTACTTGTTATATCATGTAGGCTCTCTTTACCTGCGACTTCTCTCCATATAGGTTCTTTTCCTATTTTCGCATTTGCATCTCCCATTATAATTTTCATATCGTAATTTGGTAACTTGTCTACCACTTGCTCCATCATTTCATAGAAGTCATCTTTCTCCTCTTCGTCCTTATCTTCAGTAGGTGCATAAAAAGTTACAATGGAAATATTCTTAAATTTACCCTTAATCCTAATATTGCACATTCGTTCATTCACTGCCTCAAAATAAATCACAGATTTAGCTAGTTTTTTACTCACAGCAAAACCAACTCCACCATAATATCTATCTTCATCACAGCCACTATAATATATACAATAATGCTTTGTGTTTATTTTGCCTGCCTGCGGCCATCTTGTCTCCTGTAAAGCAACTACATCCAATTTATATTTATTCAATTCCTCTGAGAGTATTTCACTTGCACCTGGCACAGCCAAGGTTCTTATGTTCCATGAACCAAATCGAAGTGATTTTTGAGGGGTCCGTTCCGTTATCCATAAATCCTGTCCATTTTCCGAGGCTTGTTGTTGGTGATACGTAACATTGTGATTTTTCCGAGGCGGGTTGTCGGCCCAACGCTCAACCCCCAACCTGGAGGACCAGGAGTTTGTGATCAGAGTCTTCTTCTCCTAGGCCAATTGCTTTCACTGCAGCTTTAAGACGTTGGCCTGGCCTTGGTGTTAGATCAGAGTGTCCTTCTCCTAGCCTTTGGGCATCCAAGCCCTATCGTACAAGGCAGTACGGGCAGTGCTTATTTAATGGCGGCACTTCCTCGCCATGACACAACACTATCATCGGGCTCATGTGTATTTGCTGAGTGTGACCCTGCCACAGATCACCCTCCCACACCCTCCGGTGCTGCCGCCTCGGTCCGGGACTACTTATTCGGGTTACCCCTTATTCGCAGCTGTCCACCATATCTGATGGAACGTTCGCCATCCGCCACCTGCGACCCGTCCAATACCTGAGGCTCGGTTCCCAGATTAGGGTGGATTGGTAAGTGCTTAACGCACATACTTAATTACGTTTTAGGAGTTATTGCTCATGCTATTACTTCTGAAATGCCTACCAAATAAAATCTTCAAATAGCCTCAAATAACATAATAAATTTCCGATTCTATAACCATATCTCAAAATAATTACTACACAATTTGGGTCAGTGACGTCATGTGTAATGTTCATGAGCCACATATTTTTATTCTAAAATAAAAACAAGAAATAGTAGTAATAATAGTCGTAAAAATAGTGGTAGGTAGTAATAAAACACAAAATAATGTCGGGCGAAGCCGTTGGGTAACAGGTAGTGAGTTATTATAAATTTACAAATAACTTGACGGCAAGACATGAACAAATCCGCACAACGCCTACGGCTTACAACATAAAGCTGAACAGAGCACGTTTAATATTTCACACATAATTTCATGCAGGGTAAAAATTAGTATAATTAATATTGATATTATCTTAGAGTGTTGCAAAATTCATTGCCTTTGGTTAAATTCATCATCGTTCAAGTGGAAATATTAAGCTTCCTCGCATGTAATTATGGCGTTCTTTGAGAGATTGTATTGTTGATTAAGCTTGTGCAATGATAATTTATACAATACCAACAAGCAAAACAAAATAAATAGCTTTATCTTTATGTTCTAACAATTTTTTAAATGTAAAATTGTTGAGTATTGTTGATAAATATTCCCAAATAAATTATTGTTACGAGTGCTAGCCCCGTGGTCGAAAACTCGACCAAATGTATTGTGCAAACCTTTCTCTATTTCAACCCGCGCTGTAAATAAAACACGTGATTGGAATTTCTTTAATTTGTTTTGATTTTCTGTTTATATTTTGTTGTTATTTCGTCACCAACATGGTAACCCAGAAGACCCATGTAAATGTTTTTTTTTATTAAAAATTCATTTTTTATTCTTATTTTTGAGCCTATTTTAATTTATAAAGGGATTTTGCACATCTACAGAAAAATATATTTCAGTTGGTACCAATCACGTGTAATTCGGTCCAGTAGTATGGTCAGGCTAGCTATCATAAGTTCTGCAAAATATATTTAGTAGGCTATATAAGATAGTGAAAACATAGAAACAAGCCGACGAAGAAGGTTTTTTTATTAATAGGTTCAACAAATTGGGTATAAAACAAAAATATAGGTTTGTGATTAATTTTTATGAACCTAAACTTGATACAAATTATAAGCCGGTTCTGATTCCAATACATCATTCCATAATGTAAGTATAATTAAAAACCCATGACTTTATGGGATATATTCAGCTAGTAGCATTCGGTAGAAAAATAGGGTTAACGTTTGGACTCAGGTCCATCATTTAGAATTAGCCTCTAAGTTTTTCTTAGCTGAAAATTAGAAAAAAAAACCGAAATTAAATATACGTACAGAAATAGTAAATAATAGTACTATAATAGTGCTATAAATGTTTTATATAGAATCTCACAAGTGTTGTTGGTCAGTTAGTTTGTGCATTGATGTCATGTTTGTTCGATACCATTGGATGGAGACTAAAATAAATAATTTTGAGAACCAATCATGTCATGCAAATGTGCCTATTCAAAAGTTATCCATACATAAATCCCAAAGTACCCATGAACTTTAGATAAAACTACAAGTCACACCCCCATAAACCATATACTTAAAATGTTCGTCATGACGAGAATCCTTGCACAAAACTATCCAATATTTCATCAATTGTCCTTTAAGGTCGTAATTCCTTTCTAAAGGGAACTTCATATATACCTAATGTTAAAAATTACTCTGTACTCATTTGTATGTTATTCTTCAATTCATGAATTCAAAGGTTATTAATATTATAATGGATTAAGTTATCTTATTAAGTAGGTTCCTAATTAAAAATGAATGCAAATTTTCGTCTTATTAATTAATAAACCAAAGCTTTTATATTTTTTAAACAAAATTATCCTTTTTCTACATGGTGATAATTAGTTAGTTAAAGGTCAACGTTTAAATCTTAAAGGTCAGGATCTTTGTTGTAGAGATAGTTACATTTATACCATCCTTGCTTAGCAATTACTTGCAATGACGACGTTTATTTTAATGTTTTTAATGTACGTGAGAACTGCATATCAAAAAGAAAAAAACCCTAGCAAATATAATGCGACTATACATTTATAATAAATGACAAAAGCCTATGTCCCTATCTTAAACCAGTATATTATCCTATAAGTCTTATTAACGTTTTCCAAAATCAAATAGCAAGCTGGTAAAAATGATTTATTTATTCAAAATATTTATTCAAAAGTATCCAAGTTATTGTTATGATATAACCAAAGAAAGATATACGTATAATTATAAATAATCTTCATAACTAATTGAGAATATTTGATGGGCTGATTCAGTATAAGTCTCCTTATGAAGTAGGAACGCCTATTTATTGATTTTGGGATTGAGAATCGATTGAATTGACGGAAGAATCGATATCAATGTTAACTTTTATTTTATTTTTCTATTTGTCTTCAAAAATATTTAAACATTTAACTTCTTGTAGCCAAATTAGACTTTAAAATTAACATTTCTTCAAACAGCTGTTATGTAGTATAAACCTTCTTGTCGGATGGTAAACAAAGTTTGTTTAGTACTTTGCTTTATTCAGCTATTTATTGTTTTTTGCTATTAGATTATAAGTTATCTGATTTTTTACAAAGACAAAATATGTTTTGAGAAAGTCTTTATAAATATTGTAGGTTTTGAAATCCCTGTTTACTTCTTACAACTTTAGAAACGTGTTTCATATTTTTTTTATCCCTGCTTTAAAGGTAAAATGCAATAAGACTAATGTTTAAATACCTTAGACATATTATTTAGCAAAAATAATTGTTCCAGAATTTCAGAACCAGCGTCGTGGCAAAGTAGGTAATTTATTGGTTGAAAGAAAACACGCTTACGTTGATTCTGTTGAACGTTTGTTTAAGATAATGTGAAATCGTTCAGTGGAAGCGAAGGTAAGATCTTTGTCGTTTTAACGGTTTCTTTGTTTTAGTGGATAAACTCTAGGTCACGAATACAATTACTAACCGGAAACAGGGTTTTGAATCATGTAAAAAAACGGACTTCTGTTTAACAAGCAGTAGCTTACTAATCCTTATGATGGTGTTAAATTTAATGTGAAAAATAATCAAGTGGTATAAAAAATAGTTTTCATTAATTATTTTGAGAGAATACACCTGTTTTACGAGTTTCCTGAGAGTAACCGTACAAAGAGTAGTTCATTGATATTAGTTGTTGAAGATATTTTGTTTCAATACATGAAATATATAAATAATCATAAGACTTGCCTAAAAGAATTGCAATTTAACATTTTGAAACGTAAAAATATACAAACAAAAAATATGACGGTTATTTGACTTGTAACAAGTTTGAACTTACAAACCGAATTAAATACTTATTTGACATTGGTAGCCATATTTGTAATCAGTTGACTTAGATTTATTAAAAAAAGGATATCGTAAACATATAAATTAAACAAATCATAAAAGTTTACTGCAAAAAGTTGATTTTAAAACATAAAAATATAATTAAAATAGTAATATAGCTTAGTATATATAGCAAATACATAACTGAAATAGCCAAAGAAAACACGGAAATTGCTATGTTAAGGTAGACAGAACATGGATTAAACTTTCAGTTACACATGGTGTTTTCCCTCTGTAAATTTACTGACAACCAAAACCACTGTCACTAACCTCAATGACATTTGTCATAAGAGTTTGGTTTGGATGTGGATAATGCAACTCCGAAGTTTAAGGTAGTGTCGGTAGGAAAATTAACACACTTTTTGAACTTGTGGTTTACTTACTTAAGACGTGTAACCTATTATAAATAAGTTATTGAGTTAATATTCTTATTTCATTTAGGCACAGTTTGATGGATACGCTTATGCTTTAGGCGTATAATATGTTCAAAATAAAATTGTTTATGTGTTTATAGACCCACACTACGACAAATAAATACCACAAACCACAATGATTCAAATCATCCATTTCCAACATCATTATGGTAACTGTTAACTAAATATTTATTGTGAATTTTTGCTTCTTTTTCTTAAACGGTTTTTATTTTATGGATAGTATTTATAGTATGGTAATTATTTGTAATTTACTGTTATGCATCTGAAAATATAATGTTAAAGAGAAAATGATGGTGTATCTGTTTTTATCTCTAGATTTTCTAATTCGTTTATGGAAGCTTCTATTACTTTTTGGCTTGAGGCAGGAATATTTTATAATACGTATTAGTTAACGCCCACTATTACAATATCACGTATTTATACTACAAAGTTCCGTATAGCTCTATATTTAGACTATACATCAAACTGATCAAACTTTAGGGTGATTTAAATGATTATTTCATTTATTTTTAATATTGTTATTAATTACAGCTACTTAAAGAGCTCTTGGAGTAGTAGATAGGTAGATTTGTCATATGCTAAAGAAAATGAGTAAAAAACAACTATTAAAACAATTAACTTTTAAGCTCCATAAATAAAAGTGCACATCATTGAGATTATGGGTTAAGCACCTTAAAAGCTTTTTGAATGCATCTTTTTTATATAGGCCTAGTTTTATTTTTATAAAAGTAATTTTACCAAAAAGTCATTTAGATGTCCTATTGGAATTCACCTAATCTAAATAATATATTATGATCACAATAACTTACCAATCTACATTACAATGAAGTATAATTAATACAAAGACCGTTGAAAGGTTCATTGTTTATGGTCAATTATTACGTCAGTTTCCTGCTCCGATAATTCCTAATAGGAACTGGGTTACTGTATTAGTACAATGAATTATGTAATGTCATGCCCAACATAAACCATTAATTAATACTAAGGCTAGATGTATTTGAAACATTGAATTGTTCATATAATACTCCATGAAAGGAAGGTTAAAAAAACCTTGAAAGTGTTTAATAGTTATTTGTGCAACTAGTGAGAAAAGTGAGCAATTGACTCACTCGAGAGAAATCCTTACTCACGA